ATATAGTTTTGGCAGCCCTCTCTGAGGAGGTTCTATTTGAATAGAGAGCATATCGAATAGAAGGACATAAGGAACCAGCCACATGAAGACCTAAGAGAGGGCATTCTAGGCACAGGACACAGCAATTGCAAAAGCTTTTATATCAGTCAGCTCTGCTGCTGTAACAAAAGCCACCAAATCTTACCTTCTTATAACAGTAGCCGTCCCATTCTCACTCAGGTTTTATGTAGGCTATAAGTCAGCTGTAGCTTTGCTGCAGGTTGCAGCTGCGCTCTGTGTGTTTTTTTAAATTTCAGGATCTAAGGTAAAAATGTAACCCCTACCTGAGTCATGGTCTTCGCACAGTAGAGGAGAGAAGAACCAGAGGCTGCGCCAAACCATGCAACAGCTTTTAAAGTTTCTCCTGGACCTAGTATATGTCACATTCACTCACATTCCATTGACCAGAGCAAATCACATGTCCAATCTCAAAGTCACTCCTTCCGAAAAGGAGGGGTGAATAATTATACAGAGTAATATAATCCGTGACAGATGGGAACAAACCTGGAGTGTTTAAGGCATAGAAAGAAGAAAGGCTCAATGAGAATAGAGAATTTTAGTCTGTTTTGCTCACTGATATATCCCACGAAGAAAAGTGCCTTGTATAAAATAAGTATTCAAGAAATATTTGTTCCATGAGTGAATGAAAGCCAATGTAGTTCGAATATAAGGGAGATACGAGATTGCAATCAATGCATTGGTATATAGGAGGAAACTTAATTTCACCCCTGCCTTAGAATTTGGTTCTCCATTCACCTCTTCCCCGGCTCTCTGTTCCAGACATAGACATTTACACCGCATACCTTCAGCTCTGCCATAGAAGTAGGGTGTCTGTACCCCTCTCCCTATCAGCCTTCCCTTCTAGATGGACTTTCATAGACTGCTGTGACCTGGGACCCCCTCCCATTCTCTAAGGACAGCAGTTCCTCCTATCTTTCTGGAAAATGCTCTTTTCCCCATTCCAAACATATGTTTTGTTAGGCGCTGGTGTATTTGTAAAGATACTACCAGGGGCAGTGACAGGTTCTAGCTTAGGGAGCACATCCAGAGGGGCTGGAGATGGGGAGTCAGGTCTATACCGTTTTTTGATTGGGTAGTAAGTACATTTGAAAAAAAAAAAAGCATCCAAAAAAATGGCATCCTTGGTTGGCTACATCTCTATTTCTCTCATGATCTTGCTTCACACTGCTCTGATATCTTTTCATTATAGTCTTAACAGGCATATTAATATAGTACTTTTTAAATTGGGGAGGGGGGGAGGAGCCATTCAGAGCCCTTCCCTAGAATTTTTGAAATTGGCACCAGAGAAGGCAGCTCTCAGGCCCTCTGTGGTGGTGAAATCGGGAGGTATAACTGTGTTTTGTCTCATGTGGAGAAAAGCAGACAGAGATTGCATAGAAAAGTAGATGAAGCAGAGCCCTGATGAGGTTTACGTTTCTGGTTTCAGTGTTACCTTGTTGCTGGCTGCACCTTTTACCTTCTCATGGTAAAAATAAATTCCTTTTTTCCCTAAGCTGTTGAGATTGAGTTTCTGCCTGTGCAACTAAGAGATCTGATTCATATAGTTTTGGAGCTTCAAAGGCATCTATGCACTGGTCTGTTTCTCACTCTCCAAGCTAGGAAAGAGTATAACAAAGTTTCTTTTTAGTCAGTTTGGGGAACTATCAAATTTCTAGCAGACTCTCAAACTGGTAATGTGTCAATACATCATCTTTCCAAAGGGAAAGAGGCACAACGTTTCTTTTTGAAACAGATCTGTTTAAACATTCACTTTCCACATCAAACTAAAACTGAAGGAAACAAAGCAGGGACCACATATTATACAGAAGAAACATACTACCTAAAATTGCCAAACACTTGAATAATAAATGCACAAACTAGGGGAATGAAGGAGTAAGGTGTGATTCATAACCTGAAATATTACCTACTAATTAAAATTGAAAATTTTATGATGACTAAGAAAATTCATAAAATGTTTAAGATACTCCGTCAAGAGAAAAGGCAAAAAAAAAAACTTTAAAACTCACATGTGATCACAACTATAAATGCCTAATTCATAGCTCTAAAAGATAATATATGTTTAGGCTACCCCAGCAGCCTGGCACCACATTAAAGTCATGCCCATTATACGGGTTCTCCCTTTCTGCTCCAGCCTAGTCTTGAAGTACTTCAGTCCATCTGCTTCTCATGCCTGGTTATTGTCTTCACCTCTCAAAAAATTAGCTTTGTAATTTCTGTTTCTGGCCTTTTCTTGCATTCTTTTTTTCTAAATATTTTTTTTCGGCACGTGGGCTTCTCACTGCTGTGGCCTCTCCCGTTGCGGAGCACAGACTCCGGATGCGCAGGCTCAGCGGCCGTGGCTCATGGGCCCTGCCGCTCCGCGGCATGTGGAATCTTCCCGGACCGGGGCACGAACCTGTGTCCCCTGCATCGGCAAGCAGACTCTCAACCACTGCGCCACCAGGGAAGCCCTCTTGCATTCTTTATCTTTTTTATACTTGACTCATACCCTGTGATTCACAGATATTGACAGCCTTGATTTCCCCAGCTTCAGCTCACCATTTGGGTTTTTTCTACACTTGTCCTATCCCATCTAAATGCATCAGGTCAAACAGGTAGGGCCCTCAAATTACATACAACTGAAACTTGAGTATATTTGAGTCTTAGGATAATGGGTAATATTTTTTTCTTCTTTCCAGACTTTCCTGTTCCAGTACCATTGCAGTAAACATTTTTTTTTAAGTCGAAATGTATTTGACATACAATATTATGTTAGTTTCAAGTGTATTACATAATGTTTTGACGTTGTATACATTATGAAATGATCACAACAATAAGTCTAGTAACCATCTGTCCCCATACAAAGTTATTACAATATTATTGACCATATTCCTTATGCTGTACATTACATCCTTATGTTTTATATTTTACATAACTGGAGGTTTGTTCCTCTTAATCCCCGTTCACCTATTTCACGCCCCCTCCCTTCTGGCAACCACTCATTTGTTCTCTGTATCTGTGAATCTGTTTTCATTTGTTTTTTCTGTTTGTTTTGTTTTTTGGAGTCCACATATAAGTGAGATCATACAGTATTTGTCTTTCTCTGTCTGACTTACTTCATTTAGCATAAGGCCCTCTAGATCCATCCATGTTGTTAAAAATGGTAAGATTTTATTTATTTTTTTATGGCTGAGTATATTCTGTGTGTGTATGTGTATGTGTGTGTGTGTATATATATATATATATACACACACACCATGTTTAATATATACATATATATATATATATATATATATATACACACACACACACACACACACCACATCTTCTTTATCCATTTGTCTATCCATGGGCACTTATCTTGGCTGTTTGTAAATAATGAGGCAGTGAACATTGGAGTGTATATATCTTTTCAAATTAGCGTCTTTGTTTTCTTCGGGTAAATACTCAGAGGTGAAATTACTGGATCATATGGTGGTTCTATTTTTAATTTTTTTAAAGAACCTCCATACTATTTTCCATAGTGGCTGCACCAATTTACAATCCCACCAATAGTGCACGAAGGTTCCTGATGATAGCTATTCTGACAGGTACAGTAAACATTTTAAAGACAATAACAATAAGCTTTTTCTTATCTCTGCCAAGAGTGGAACTTAATGGTGATTCTGTAGAACTGCATTTTTTCAGCTTCACATTAACAACAAAAGATGCTGCTTATTAGTACCCTAGCAGTTTTGCATTTATAACATAGCAGTTCAGTATATGTATGCCAGGTATTAATCTACCTGGGAACAGAAGCCACCTCATGGAGTTAGCTACCCAGAAATTATACAGGCCCTATAGATGTTCCATTGTACACTTGGGGCTCATGTTTAATTCCCCATAGGATTTTAGGTTTATTTTCTTTTCCTAAAACCGGATCTACTCTGGACAATAGTTCTTAGACAGTGAGCATTTGCACCTACTGCTGAATCTTGATGTCTTTGGGCATTGTAGCATGTCTTATACATTTCACTGCTATCTTCGTTTCCTTGGGCTGCCTTAACAAAGTAGCACAAACTGAGTGGTTTCAACAACAAAAATGTATTACCACACAGTTTAGGAGGCTGGAAGTCCAGGATCAAGGTGTTGGCAGGATTGGTTCCTTCTGATGGCTGTGAGGAGGAATCTGTCCCATGTTTGTCTCCCAGCTTCTGGTGATTAGCTGACAAACTTTGGTGTTTCTTGACTTCTAAAAGCATCACCCTGATTTCGGCCTTCATCTTCATATGGCATTCTCCCTGTATGCCAGTCTATCTCCAAATTTCCTCTTTTTATATGAACACCATTCACATTGGATTAGAGCCCACCCTAATGACCTCAACTTAACTAATTACATCTGCAATGAACCTATTACCAAATAACATCACATTCTGAAGTACTGGATGTTAAAACTTCAATGTAAGAATGGGCGGGGGGGGGGGCGGGGAGCACAATTCAACCCATAATAACTACGTATCTCATTATAACTCCAGACTTCATTTCTGCCATGTTGGTGTCAGGCTTAGCCATGAAATTGCTTTGGCCAATAAAATGTGAGTAGAAGTGATGTGTCTGCATCTAAGCAGAAACTTGTTAAGAATTTTTTCCTTCTGCCATGAAACTAGCCATATTCCAGATAGAGGCTATTTCATCAGCCTGTGTCTCAAGAGTTAGAGTGACATGGAACAGAGCAACAGCTAACTTTCAGTGAATATGTAGCACAAGAAGGAAATAACCCCTTATGATTTTAAGCAACCAAGACTTTGGGGTCATGTGTTACTGAAGCATTAACTTAAGGTAGCTGACACCATAAGTTCACTCCTAATGTGTGGGTTTTTTTCATTCATTCATCAGATATTTATTAAGAACTTGCTATGTGCTAGGCATAGCACTGTGTGTTGGACACTCTGATGGTTAATTTTATCTGTCAACTTGCCTAGGCCACACTACCCAGATATTTGGTCAAACACCAGTCTAGATTGTTCTGTGAAGATATTTTTCAGGTAAGATAACGTTTCAATCAGTAGACTTTAAGTAAAGCAAATTACCCTCCATAATGTAATTTGGCCTTGATTCAGTCAGCTAAAGGCTGTAAGAGAAAAAAAAGACTGAGGTTCCCCCAGGAAGAGGGAATTCTGCCTCCACACTGCCTTCAGACTCGAGCTGCAACATGAGCTCTTCCTTGGGTCTCCAGCCTGCTGGAGCTCTGCAGATTTTGAACTTGCTAGCTCCCACAAATCTCATGAGCCAATTCCTAGAAATAAATCGCTATATATATATATATATACACACACATCCTATTGGTTCAGTTTCTCTGGAGAAATCCAATTAATACACAGTCAGTGAACAGTGAACAACCTAGAAATAGTCCTCATAGAGCTTATAGTCTAAGGAAGAATACAGACAAATAAACAGAAAAAAAGACAATGTTATGTAGTAAATGCTGGGAATGCTTCGTGTCATAGGAACACATAGGAGGAGCATCTAACCATGACTTGAGGAATCAGAGAAGCCTCTCTAGAGGAAATGAAGTCTAACTTGAGAACTGAAGGTGGCAGGTAGAATAGGAGTTAGCCAAGTGAAGGGACGAGGTTGTGGAGAGCAGGGCTTAGATCGAATGCAGAACACGCATTCTTAACAGGGGCATTATTGCCCCCAAGAGGGAGAAACTGGTGCTTGGCAGGTGAAATAAATCTTGGTTATTACAATGTTTTGTGACCATCCAAAGCTCAATTCTATCCGACAAAATCTTATTCCTTAATATTTAATGAGGGAGCGGGGGAGACATGATTAGAAAAAATGTCTAAAAAGTCTCCATGGTTGGGGGAGGGGGGTGCACGGTGGTGACAAAAAGAAAAGGCTGAGAAACATTGGTGTAGAAAGACCTTTTGGGTAAGGGAAGGATCACATACGGAGCTTGTGAGAGAAGACTATAGCATATTTAACAGGTCAGAATGGTTGAGGTATACAGTGGGAAGGAACAGAGGCACAGAGAGTCGTGGGAGAAGAGGCTCATCTAGATACAAATGTTAAAGAAAATTAAATCTGAAAAATGCATTTTGACTGCAATTATCCAAATATTTTAGGTGAAATTGGACTTTGTCTAAATTATCTACTGTAGACTATGCTCACTTTTATATATGAATTTCTACTTTGTGTTTGTAGTCATAGATTAAATGAATCATTAACTTTAAACATGTTTTAGAGATGACAAAGAACAACTGTTAGAATACCTTTTCTATCTTTCTCAGAGTTTTAGTTTTATAATTGTAGTCTCTAAAACAGCATCATGTTCAGGTGGGCATTTAATCATTAGGCTGTTCTGGAAGGCACATTAACCTCTGGAGAATTTGCGTGTGATTTACTTCACTGGAGTTTCAAAGATTAAAAATATGAGAGTAAAAAGATATTTTTCTTGGTTCCATTATTGGGAATAGATGAGAACAATGATCTGTTTAATAACCATTATCATTATCTCCCTCCCAGATGGAATTAAAATTACTTTAATATTCTATTAGGAAAATCTTTGCAAAAATGCTGCCAATCTTTTTTTTTTTTTAATTTCCAGCAGCTTGGCAACAATGAACTCAAAACTAATTCAGTGCTTTTGAGAGATAATATAAACTTAATTTTAGACTCTAAAGGACTAAAAAATTGCATGCTCTTCCATAATTTTAGCTTTTAATATTTTTATACCCCAGCCCTAACTTGCTTGATGTGAGTAGACCTGACCTAAATGTCTAATATATATATATATATATTTTTTTTTTTGCGGTACGCGGGCCTCTCACTGTTGTGGCCTCTTCCGTTGCGGAGCACAGGCTCCGGACGCACAGGCTCAGCAGCCATGGCTCACGGGCCTAGCTGCTCCACGGCATGTGGGATCTTCCCAGACCGGGGCACGAACCTGTGTCCCCTGCATCGTCAGGCGGACTCTCAACCACTTCGCCACCAGGGAAGCCCTCTAATATACTTTTTTAAGAGACAGCATTCTAGTAATCAAAGGTCTTGTTAAGTAAAAGACAGTATGCGGAAACAGTACTGAATATGTGTTCTGAAGTCACACTACCTGGGTTCACATCCTGAGTTGAATCTGTTTGGGTTTAAATGCTACTAGGTTTCGTGAATTGGGCAGATGTAAAGTTACATGATCTTATCCTCTGTGTACCTCACTTTCCTCATGTGTAAATTATGGCTCATAATAGAACCACTACATAGAGTTGTTGTAAATATTAAATGAGTTAATTATTTAAGACACTTAGAACAGTGCCTCGTACATACTTAGTACCCAATAATGTTACCTACTATTATTATTATTTAGAACTCCTTATTAAGTAGTTTTAAAACCATTTGTTTTGGTGCTTCCTGTATGCCATACAAGGAACTTAATTGTGAAACTGTTAGTACACCTGGCCTAAAATGATCTTCACAGCATGACTCAAGTATTTATTTATTTATTTATATGTTTTGTTGCACTGGGTCTTAGTTGCGGCTCACAGCCTCCTTAGTTGCAGCTCGCTGGCTCCTTAGTTGTGGCATGTGAAGTCTTAGCTGCGGTATGCGGGATTTTTAGTTGCAGCATGCATGTGGGATCTACTTCCCTGACCAGGGATCAAACCTGGGCCCCCTGCATTGGGAGTGCGGAGTCTTATCCACTGCACCACCAGGGAAGTCCCCTCAAGATATTTCTTTAAACTGACTTTTTTTAGTATCATTATTGTTCTCTTCAGTATAGTTCAGGCCTTTAAATTGATTTATTTTTTAGGCTAGGGTGATATTTTTGTTCTTAGGTGAGAAGATAAACATCTAAGGTTCATAAGGAAAAACACTCCTTAGAGCAGTAGGTGGTAGATGAATTCCTCTTCGGAACTTTGTATTGGCGTCTAGAATTTATCTCTACAGTACTGCTTTTTCCATGGTGCCAATAGGGAAAAGCAAGAGTTACCCATGATTTTCTGGCATTGTTTTTTTTTTTTTTTTTTTGGCAGTACGCGGGCCTCTCACTGCTGTGGCCTCTTCCGTTGCAGAGCACAGGCTCCGGACGCGCAGGCTCAGCGGCCATGGCTCATGGGCCCAGCCGCTCCGCGGCACGTGGGATCTTCCCGGACCAGGGCACGAACCCGTGTCCCCCGCATCGGCAGGCAGACTCTCAGCCACTGCGCCACCAGGGAAGCCCGCATTTTTGTTTTGATTAAAGAAATTTTAAAACCTTTCAATATTTATATCTTTCAGAAAATGTCTTTGAAATTCAAAAATGCAAAACGAATTGAAGGCCTTGATAGCAATGTGTGGTGAGTACATTAGAATAAACAATAATCATTGGGTGAAGTTTTTTTCCTCCACATGTTTATATCCTTATTTGGGAATTTTTAGCTGTATCTATAGTCTATAAATAAAACCACTTATTTTAATTCATCCATTCAGTGGAAATGGAAGGAAATAATGATTCATACACTGATTTATTCACTTAGCAAAGGTCCTGAGCTAGGCACTGGAAATGGACAGAGAAAATGACAGATTGGGTGGATGCCCTTGTGGAACTTACCTTCTAATCCATCAACTTTTCCTATTAGCCCTCCTTTCTAATGGTTGATAAGAGAACCTAGCAGCAGATGGTTGAGAAAAATATTTATGTGATTAAAATATGGGCATCATGGAACTGAGATTTGTAAGAAACATTAAGTTCATCAGTTCAGCCATAATTTTTCCGGGTAAAGTCATTTTGTAGACGGTAAAATTTTTGTCGTGAACTCATTAATTTTGTTTGATCTGTAAGACTAAACTAAGTCTTATTTTTCAGTTTCTAAAGACTATGAGGTATAAACAGCTAACTTTGTAATTTTAGTACTTACTAATATTAGTATTTTTTACCTTAGGATTGAATTTACCAAGTTGGCTGCAGACCCCTCTGTTGTGAATCTTGGCCAAGGCCTTCCAGATATATCCCCTCCTGTATATGTAAAGGAAGAATTATCAAAGATTGCAGCAATTGATAGTCTGAATCAGTACACACGGGGCTTTGTAAGTATATGAGGACTCTGTGGGGTGTGAGCTTGTATTTTATATTGTATTGTGCGTGAATGTACTTCTACCACTTCTCCGTAATTGGCTTTCTGGAACCAACTGCCCCAACTTGATAACCAGAGGAACACTCACCCTTACCCTTATCTCCTAGGATGAGCTGTCCCCTGCTTCGAGCTTCTCCACAGTCCTGTCTTGGCCCTTCGTTTACCGTTGTTCCAGGATGAGGTCCTACGACAAGCAGGGAAGGAGAATATTCACTTTAGACATATTTTCTCTCCCTTTCAAACTTACGCAGCCTCAGCACTGGCTTCTTACTTAATATTCTCTATTTCCAACTAGTTACTTTCTTTCTTTCTACCTCAGCACAACCTCCATCTTTCTGTGGTGGAATGCCTAGGATATCCAGAGATTTCATAGATTCTACTAAAAAACAATTACCACAAGTCTTCATGACCATTCATGCAGGAACCCTCTGAAAATAGGAAAAAAGATATTTTAATTTATTGCCATTTAAAAATACAAATTGGAAAATTATAAAACCCAGATGTTAAAAATTCTTACATTTTAGAGCCAAACTATCTCAAAGAAGTAGGTCCCATAATTAAATTTAAGGTTTTGTTCTTCCTTTTACTCAACAGGGTCATCCATCACTTGTGAAAGCTCTGTCCTGCCTATATGAAAAGTTTTATCAAAATCAAATAAATCCAAATAAAGAAATCCTTGTGACAGTAGGAGCATACGGATCTCTTTTTAATGCCATTCAAGGATTAATTGATGAGGGAGATGAAGTAAGTACATTAACATTATCATGTTGCCTATATTAATCACTATCATTTGTCCTGCTTTTATTTTTACTTATTTTATACTCTTTTTTATTTGAATCATTTTTGAAGTATAATTTATGTGCAGTCAAGTTCACAAATGTTAAGTACAGCTTAGTAAATGTTTACATGTATATGAGTCTGTATGTCTCCATGTAACCACAAACCAGATGAAGATATAGTACATTTCCAGCAACCCAGAAGGTTCCCTTTTGCCCCTCCGTAGTCTATATTCTTCCAGAGGTAACCGCTCTTCTGTGTTCTGTCACCATAGGTTCATTTTGCCAGCTCTTTAACTTGATATAATAGAATCATACAGTATGTACTCTTGAGTCTGGCTTCTCTCATTTATCATTTTGTCTGTGAGATTCATCCATTTTGTTGCATGTCATTTATTCTTATATTTACAGCCTATTTAGATAAGAGAAGTAAAAGGGGCTAGCAGTGATGCGGGAAAATGAATCTTAGTTTTCACTGCTAAAATAACCTTTAATCTGAACTCAATCAACAAGTATTTGGTCCCTGTCTTTTTGTACCCTGTATTGTTAGCAGCACTGTGTGAGGGATGTATAACAAGAAGGCTGAGTGATTTCTTTATTTAGTGACGTGATATAAAACCCACTTTGGCACTGACCTCAGTCAGCTCTGCCCCTAATTCCCCATTATCATTCCAATACCCCTGCTTCAGTATTTCCTCACCTGTTTCATTTATTCAGAATTTATTGAGGATACGCTAAACATTGTGGGAGAGATTTTTAAAAGACGGTTTCTGTGTGGAAGGGGTTCCCTGTTTAGTAGAGGAGATAGACTTGTAAACAGATGAGGAGGAATGCAATGCTATAGGCGGTCGTGGGGAATGTATAAGTTACCATGGTGACAAGAGGAAGAAGTGATCAACTCTGCTAATATAGGTCTGGAAAGCTCTAGAGAGGTGTTGGTTAAGCTGGGTGTGAAGAATGAATATTTGCCATGATCTGTATTGTTAATTCCTTTCTTTGAATTCTCCCCGCACTTTATCTGTACCTTCTTTATGAAAGATACCTGTTACTTTGTGTTACATTATCCTTTTACATCTCAATTCACTCTACTACAGCCAAACAGTAAGCTACTTAAGGAGACATGGTAAGGAAGTACAGTCATACTTTCATATACGTAATCTCCTTTATTCCTATAAAGTAGTTGAAAGTTTTATCTGAGACTTTGGTGTTGTTACTCCTTTGTTGCTTCTTCCTACTCTGCACTTTATTGGTGTGTCCTAGGGCTCAGCCCTTGGCCTTCTTTCCTCTATTCTTTCTTCCCTGATCATCTTATCTAATATTTTGAAACCACACACACCACTTTCCATCTTACTGACCTATTATTTTCCTTATAGTATTTATTACTATGTGAAATTAGCTGATTTACTTCCTTGTTTTCTTATTTATTATAAATGTCTTGCAGGAGAATGTAAGTTCCAGGAAAACTAGTTTATCGCTATAGAGCTAGCACCTGAAATAGTGAGTGCTCAGTAAATATTCTTCAAAAAGAGAGGGGAATTATTTCCATTGTAAAAATAAGGAAATTTCAGGGAAGCATGTTTAAGTATATTCTTCAGCTCCACCTTGCTGCCTTCCCAATTTACTTTCCTTCATTGAGCTCTCACTTCGTACCAGGCACTGTTTCTCACCAGGGCTACAAAGATGGGTCATCTTAGTCCCCAAGAATTTCATAGTCTAATTAAGAACTTGAGGAAAAGATTCATTCCTGGCTCATTTCTTTGTCCTCCACAGTACCCAACACATAGCACATTGTATAGGAACTACTCAGTGTGAGTTGGATGACTAGTACAAACAAAGGGGCTTTAGAATATAAGGGCCTCCTATGACTCCAATGAGAAAGGCCTTGAAAAAGAAGTACAAGCAGTAAAAAGTGCAAATTTAGGGTGATAATTAGGTACCATGAATTTAACCAACACAAACTTAAATGCGGCAGTTTAGTGTAGACTTGTAAAATTATAAATTGTTGCCAGATTTTTCACAAGCAGTTTGACTATATATATAAAGTACCATAAAACATGTTTATACCCTTTAGTCTAGCAGTAGCAATCATGTGAATTTATTCAGCAAATGATTTTAAAAAGATACTGTGCATAGTCACAAGTGAACATTGCACTGTTATTTATACAAGAAAACTATAACAAAATTGTTCTAGAATTCAATAGACTCTCAAATAGCCTTTAATATAATAAGTGCTAAAACTAAAGAATTAAAATTTTTGTGAAATACTTCTAAGTTTAAAAAAGATAGAAAAATCAAATGTGTACAATGGATATAAATTATGTGTTCAAACCCTCCTTATAGAAAAGCAAAAAGTTAGGGATGCTAGGTCCAGGCTGGCATACTGCAGAAGGAATACCAACTGGACAGGTTAGTCTGGCCCACTGACCTGAAAGCCAGGCCATGAGTGATTGAGAGAGAGCCTGTAGGAGAAAAGGAACAGGAAGTATATCTCAAGGGGCTAGGAAAAAAGGATCCAGATATAAGTCATCTGGAGGGAAATTGTGGTTATCAGACATTAGCAGTAGCATCCTGTCTACCTGCATACGCTTTTTGTTTAGGGATGCTTTTGAGAAACGACAAACGTCTTTACTCTCAGGATAATACTTATAAATTAGTACTCCACAGCAGAGAGCATCGGTTGCAGTGCTCTCTTTCCTTATGGTCTTGCTCTGTCACTGATCATTTATTTTCTAATTTGAAATTTAAACTCAATGTTTTTGGCTGGAACATCCCTTTGAGAATGTGATGAGAGCTATGACGCCTTTCCCCAGAAAAATATACCTATGCATGTAAAAAATTTTACATACAATTCCAACGGTCCCACTGCAAGCCTGTCCACAGATCTCCCTAAGAGATCAAGGGCTCCAATTAAGGATCCCGACAAGTTTATCCCCAAGGTCTTTTTCACTCAGATATGAGAAGACAAAGCCTGCTTTCTACACTGCTGCATCTCAGCATGTAGTATAGTGCCTTGCACATAGTATGTACACAATATTTGTTAAATGGATTAATGATTAATATGTTGTGTTATTTGGTTTTATTCCAGGTCATAGTGATAGTGCCTTTCTATGACTGCTATGAGCCCATGGTGAGAATGGCTGGAGCAATACCTGTTTTTATTCCCCTGAGATCTGTAAGTTTGCCCCTATGATTCACATGTTTTAAGAAGTTTTGTAAATACCATGACTTTGTTGCCAGTAAAGTTCCTACTTTGATTACATTTTGGGATTTACTATATATCTCTACTATGACTGAAGGTAACAACTTTAAAGGGGGATCTTTTATTACTTTATCTTGTGTTTGCACGTCTGTCTGTTGTATCAGCGTCTACATTGTGTGTAATACTATTTTTTGTGGTTATGTGTCTCCCCTACTGACTGAGCACCACCAGGTCAGAAACCATTTCTGACTCACTTTTATAGCTCTGGTCCCCAGTGACTAACAGTGTAGGGTATATGCTGGGTGCTCAATAAATGCTTATTGAATTCTGAATGAAGTAATTTTTTTTAAATTCTGCTTTTATCTTTAGGAATACAGTATAGATCCATTGTCTTTTTAAAATTTTCATCAAAATAAGTGATACAAGGTGAATTACAGAATCTTCTATTAGTCTTATAGTATCAGACGTGTTAACCATAGTTAGAGCTGGCTCCTTTGAAGGAATATAGGCACTTTCACAGCCGTTAATGTTGACAGAGTTCATGTTTCCAATTAACAGGTATGAGCATGGAACTCACATCCTGTTGGGCTCTTAAGGCAGAGTAAAGCTTAGTTATTTCTATTTCTTTTCTTTGTTTGTCATCTATTCAGTTACCTTTGCCATGCCTTTCTCTACTTTTTTTTCCTTGTTAGGTTACTTTTTTGTAGGACAGCAAACATAAATTAACTGAATTAAATCACATCTTCATTCTTCATGCTTAGAAACTTGTTGATGGGAAAAAATGGTCTAGTTCTGACTGGACATTAGATTCTCAAGAACTGGCAAGCAAATTTAATTCCAAAACCAAAGCTATAATACTAAATACTCCGCATAACCCCCTTGGCAAGGTGAGTCTTTGATATCTTTATACAGTCTTCTGGTCCATCATTTTCTCACATGTTGAATAATTGGCTCTGCTCCTTTGTTTCCTTTCATATGTGTAGGTGTATACCAAAGAGGAACTCCAAGTAATTGCTGACCTTTGCATCAAATATGACACACTCTGCATCAGTGATGAGGTTTATGAATGGCTTGTGTATACTGGAAATAAGCATTTTAAAATAGGTACCAATTATTACATAGAATCACAAATCTAAATGTGTTTGGGCATGTGTGGAACATCTGATTGGAAAGGATCCCAGAAGAGCTTTAAAATAGTCTTTGTAATGGGTAAATGTCTGTGAGTGCTTAAAAATGGGCCTTGAATGAATGATGCTTGAGTGAATTTAGAAGCAGATTGAAGGACAAGCAGTACAAACTTAGGAGACGAGATTTTGGATCACACTATAAAACTATGAAACCAGAGAAGTAGTACTTTTGCCTTTATTTTTAGCTTTTTTCAAGAATCTAGCTATTACTTGGCATATAAGACATAGGGAACTTAATTGTTCCTGAACTGGTCTGTCCCTGCTGAGCAGGTTGCCAAAATGCCAGGTCAACAGGAAAAAATTGTCATGACAGTAAGGTATTGCTGCGTGGCCCTTGCCTGGAATTTCACTATTACTACTGGGCCATCTCACAAAAGCCACAGTGTCTTCTGAGGTAATCCAAACTTATATCAACTATAGGGTTATAAACTGGGCTGCAACCTTTGGGTCTTTGCACTTGCCCTACCTATACCTGGAAACACTTTTTGCCAGATATCCAAATGGCTCAGTCTGTCACCTCTCTGGGGTCTTTGTTCAGATGTCAATTTTTTTTTTTTTTTTTTTTTTTTTGCGGTACGCGGGCCTCTCACTGTTGGGCCTCTCCTGTTGCGGAGTACAGGCTCCAACACGCAGGCTCAGTGGCCATGGCTCACGGGCCCAGCCGCTCTGCGGCATGTGGGATCTTCCTGGACCGGGGCACGAACCTGTGTCCCCTGCATCGGCAGGCAGATTCTCAACCACTGCACCACCAGGGAAGCCCCAGATGTCAAATTTGATGACCACAACATTTAGGATGGTTACACCTCTCCTTCCAGCATTTTCTTTGTCCTTTTTCCGTTCTGTTTTTGTTTTTTCCTCTATAACAAATATCAGCATCTATATATTTTACTTCGAACCTGCAAGAAGGTAGGAATTTTTAAATGTTTTGGTCTCTTCTGACTCCTTAGTTCCCAGAAAGTGTCTTGTGCATGGTAGACAGTCAGAAAGTAATTGTTGAATAAAATGAATAGGAAGTATGAAAAGGGTGAGGGAAGGATAACTAAAATCACTGGCAGGAACCAATAAATTTTAAAATTAGTGCACTTATATATAACTAGTTTTTGCACATATCATAATTATCCGCGGCAAATTACAAATTGTTGTAGAGACACAGAGGAGAAAGCATCTGCTTCAGGTGATCAACAAAGGAGTGGGCAAAAGACGGGACTAGTTAGGCAGAGAAATAGAAAGAAAATTCCTATCAGATAAAGTTTTATGCACTGAGGCAAGGAGGCATGAAAGATCAAGATATACTTAAGTGGTAGAAGGGTGTGTTGCAGTAACTGGCACAGATGAGAGTGGAAAAGTAGGGTGATTCTGAAGGACTTTATATATGAGGATAAAGAGTTTAAACTTCATTGAGGGGGTCAGTGGTTCTGAAACTTACTTTAGTGATAGAGCATCTTAAAGTCATGATGTTCACATCATGAAATAGTGACAATACATACTTATTTCATCATGAAACTAGAGGCAATTTTCTTAACAGAAATTCAGTAATTAGAAGTCAGTGTAAAAACTACAAGTCTGTGTGTATTTACCTGTAACAAAGTGCTATTGAAACAAATACATCTGAGTTTTTCTGATTTTTGCCATTAATGTTCATTTTCTAATGCTCATTTGTTTCACTGTTGGTAGCATTCACTATCAGATAAGTGGTAGCACTTACCTTAAGTGCTTAAAATTTTGTGGCTTAAGAAAATTTTGTGGAAAACTTAATACTGATTTTTTTAAGTTCTATTTAAAAAGTCAATAATTAATTTGATCATCAGGGTACCGGTGAGCATACTTTGAGAACTACTGCAACAGGTAGTGACGAGGCAGGGTAATTAGTTCCATATTGGATTTGTTTTATAAAGGTAAGAACCAGCTACAGGTGAGGATCTTAAGTCAGATGCCCTGGCGGTGGAGATGATACATGAGGGCTGCTTAGAAGTAAAAACTATAGGGCACAGAATATAGCCTTTGAAGGTGGGAAAGCAAGCAAGTGTGATTCTGAGATCTCTAGCCTGGACCACTAGGCAGTGATGAGGCCCTTACCCAGGGACGGAGATGTGGGAGGAGGAACAGATCTATGGGGAAGAGCTGAGCAAAGGAAATTCCTGCTTCTCATACTCTAGTCTTGCTAAGTTTCAGTGTCTTTGAGACATAGAGGAGGAGATGTCTAGAAACAAGTAGAATTATAGGCCTGATCGTCAGGATCAAATTGTGAAGGGATTTATTTTTGGCAGTCATCAAAATGTTGTTGATAGTGGAACCCATGGAAGAGAATGAATCTTCTAAGGAAGAATGTATAAACAGAGAAGAGGGTCAGAGATTTGCAAGATATGGTGCCTTAGCGCAGCAGACTTTTGTTATTTGTCAAAATTGCATCACAGCTCACCTTCTCACATCTTGTTGATGATCTCTGTCTCAGGTCACTAACTTCTTCCCAGTTGAAAATCAGACCAACATGGACAATTAATGTTTTGGTAATTTTTTTAGATTAAGCAGAGAGAGGAAGAGGTATCTATCTAATGAATAAATACAATTTTATACTTAACATTTTACATGTTTTACAAATGTTCATGCCTATGCAATGACTCAAAGCTTTAAAAAATTTAGTTAACTCAGTTTAGCAATATTCTTTCCAAAATATTACTTTAAATGATCTTGAAATTTATTGTTTAAACCTTATATTATAAGCCCTTCATGGTAAAAGTGTAAATGATGATGTTATTTCCTAAAGATATATATTTTAAACTCAGATTTTTTAGTTGTTTTTAACAACTCATAAAGTTAAAACAAGAAAAAAATGAATTCACTATTTCATTATTTAGAGAGTACAAATGTGTGAAAACTTATTCTATTAAATACAGTGGCCTTTGTTACATGAAAGATGCTAAATGGCTCTTCCATCAATTTACAGAGTGCAATAGTAGCTCTTTAATATAATACAGTAAGGCTTGCTGGCCATACATCATGAAATTAGCATCATCTTCATGTTGTCACAGAGGCAGTTTTCCTGGTGTAGTTTTCACTCTTCATCATATCTCTCATCTTTATCTGACTTCTAATGAAGCCTAAGTCACCTGTGAATAACTGTTATAGCTGCTGTGGCTGATTTAAGGATCATAAATGAGAAGTACAAAGACCAGCTGCCTTTCAGGTATAACTGCAAGCTAAACTTACCAATACTGGAACTGGATACGTTTTCTTAAAATCATCAGACCTGCAAAGTTTTTTTTTATTTCTTTAGGTTACTATATTCAGATGCAGTGCTGTGGTCATCTGCTCTGCTTATGTGTTTACATTAACTTCTGTAGCTCCCCAGATCTCTGAGATGGAGAGGACATGGACATTCAGATGTTTTAAATTACTTAGGGCCCTTTTTATTGAAATAGTAGAACTTGTTCTTACTGAATCAGATTCTTGACTCAAATGATTTCTGCAGGTTTCAGTAAAATGACATTACAGTCGACAAATGAAACCTCTCTTCTGGAAGAGATTATACTAATACACTGATATTTATATACTAATCTATTGATATTTGGAAAATTAGTATAAAATTCCTTGTAAATTATTTAGCTGATCAGCTTACTCCTTGAAAAAAGACATCCTCTTTTATATGGTCAAAATAGCCATCAAGAAATTACTTAGTTCTCCTTTTAAATTTATGCTATAGTCAGATTTGATATTTTGTGAATGAAACCTACATTTGATGTGTGCATAGTTTTTATTTCCTTCATGTATAACTTATTGTTAAAACATATTAGTATTATATTAGTTTGGGTAATTTTTATTTTCAAAGAATTTATTTCTAAATATTGTTTTTACTAATAGGCCTTCCTGATTTTGGATATATATTGTTATTTTAGAGGAAGTGATAATCTGCATTATACATAGTTTGGATTTTTCTGTGATCAAGTAGGAAAGTGCGACATCTGTCGTGTCCTTTGGAATATTTTAGAAGACTAAATAGAAGACTAGAAATGTCTCAAAACTTGAAAGGATATGGTTATTTACATCAAATGTTAGAATATTCCTTCTTCGAATGGACCCTCTAAATATTTTCTTCATTTGTCTTTTTGGGTTTTCTTATACTTCACAGAGAATACAGTGGTAACTTCTCTGATTTATATTGTTTTCCTGCCTTTACAAATGTTTACAGGTATTTCGTGATAGGCTAAAATTGCATATGTATCCATTTTGGAACTTTCTTTAGCTATCTTACATTTTAGTAGGCACTTAACTTGCTTATGAGAAGATTACTTCAAGAAGACAGTAACTTAGCCCCCCAGAAATGGGTATTTATTTTCCCTTTGTGCATACCAACACTCTTAGAACAATGTAAGAGCATCTATTGTACCTCTAAAAAAAAAAGGTGAAAAACTTGTGGAATTGCACGTGAAGAATTTCACAACTAAATTACTTGAGGAATCCAAAAAACAGTTTTGTAGGTAGCATTCTCAGATTAACAGAGGAATAATTTACTGATGTCCAACGGAATTCACCAACTCTTGTATTTTATACCTCCATGACTTTGATACCTGCATCCCCTTTGTCCAAAACACCTTTTTTTCCCCTTCTCTACCCAGCAAAGCCCTATGTGGTCATCCAAGTCTCACCTCAAGCATTACTGACTGCAGAGAACTACCCCTAACACCATCTCCTATCCTTGCAGAATATTCCATGCCTGTTGCTATTATAGCACTTATCACACTGTAATATAATTGTTCTTCTTGTCTCCAAGCCCCACTAGACATTAAGCTCCTTGAAGATAGGAACTGCATCTTTCTTGTCATTGTTTCCTCTAGACCTAGCTTAGTACCTGGCACCTGATCATTGCTAATAAATGTTTGATGAGTGTATGAATAAGTGAATGAATGATTTTACTAAAGGTATCAATCAACTTGAAAATTTTTATATAGTCATTTGCCATTTTCATGGAATCTGTATTTGTGAATTCATCTACTCACTAAAATACATTTGTAACCCCCAAATCACTAGAGTGCTTCATCTGCAGACATGTCCAGAGGGGTGAAAAATTTGAGTTGCCTGACATGGATGTTTCCAGTTAAGGTCAACAAGGCAACACTCTGCCTTCTTATTACAGCTTGTTCTATAAGCAAGTGTTCTTTTCACAGTGATTTTGCTATTTTAAATGGCCCCCAAATATAGTGCTGAAGTGCTGTCTAATGCTTCTAAGAGCAGGAAAGCTGTGTTGTGCATTACAGAGAAAATACATGTGTTAGACAAGCTCCATTCAGGCATAAGTGCTAAAATTACTGGCCATGGGAATATTAGTGGTTGATACCTAATAGGTATAGGGCTTCTTTTGGGGTGAAAAAAAATGTTCTAAAATTGATTGTAGTAATTGTTGCTTAACTTTGTGGATATGGTACATTTAAACGAGTGAACTATATGTCATGGGATTTATATCTCAGTAAGTTATTTATAAAACACATACACACACTCACACACATGCATGCAGATTGTTGGCCCTTCCCCAGAGTTTCTGAGGATCCAAGAATTTGCCTTTCTTACAAGTTCCCCGGTGATACTGCTATTGCTGTGTGGGGACTGTATTTTAAGAACCATTGCCCTAGGAATCCTGTAGAAATAGACTCAGAAAATGGGCAGAGTAGAGGTGAGCTAAACACTAGCCAGAACCACAAGCAAAACTGTGCCACAGAATGATTATGCTGGGCACCCAGTTACTACTAACGCTGAGCACTGAGTGCTGTTGCTCCTGTGACCACAGCACTGAACCGGCCTGGAGCGCTGCCTGCTGGCACCTCTGCCATTCCTGCCCTGGGAGATAATTTTGCCACTTAAATGTTTTCAAGCATGGTAACATTTTCAACTGTGTTTGGGTTAAAGTTAAATTATCTCTAAAAAAACCTATTGAAATAACTATACTGACTATAAGGCATTTATGTTTTTAGATTATACTGAGTGTAGACTGACTATAAAGCAATTATCTAACCTTTTTTTTTTTTTTCTTTTTTCTGTTCAGCCACTTTTCCAGGTATGTGGGAGAGAACAATAACGATAGGAAGTGCTGGAAAGACTTTCAGTGTCACTGGCTGGAAGGTAAGATGAAGAAGAATTTAACTGTTTGAAAACAGGCCTGTATTTTACTTCTTGTAGAGTTTTTTTTGTTTTAAATGCATAGATATTCAGTTTACCCAGGGTTTTATACTTACTGATCTGCTTATTTACTCATTCAGTTTTCATATTGGCCTTTATCCTTTTTGAGACTTAATCATTCCTTTAAAAGTAAGAAAAATTAGGTAATTTTTAAATTTTATAAGTAACCAACTAATGGTACTCTTTTCTTTGCAAAGAATGTTCAGATTACTGTATATTAATATAAAACGAGAAAAAGTAATAGATAACATTTTGGCACTTAGTATGTGTCAGGTTCTAAGAGCTTTCCACATACTGATTCCTTTCATTCTCATAACCACATTATGAGGTGGGTATAATTTATTATTCCCATTTACAGACAATAAAACTAAAGTACAGAGAAGCTAAGTAACTTGCCTAAGGTTACCTTGCTAATGAATTCGAATTCAAGCCAGGACAGGAAGTCTAGGTTCAGAATCCACACATTTAACCACTGCACTATGTAGTACAATCACAATTGATCCAATTGAAACTTGGTTATCTTCCAACTTCACCTCTTCTAAACTTGGCTAAGAAGCAGACAGTATCAAAAATGAGGGCTGGAGAACCAAATTATGGAAGACTCCCTTACGGCCCTCATTCAGAGTTACTTTTACCTATATTGAAGTCAAACAAGTTTTTTTTTTTTTTTTTTGTGGTATGTGGGCCTCTCACTGTTGTGGCCTCTCCCATTGCGGAGCACAGGCTCCGGACGTGCAGGCCCAGTGGCCATGGCTCACGGGCCCAGCCGTTCTGTGGCATGTGGGATCTTCCCGGACCGGGGCACGAACCCGCGTCCCCTGCATCGGCAGGCGGACCCTCAACCACTGCGCCACCAGGGAAGCCCAAAGTCAAACAAGCTTTTTACTGGTTATTAGACCTCCAGAATATTAGAAGTAGCAAATCAAAGAGGGGGGAAGATAATAATGATTGCAGGCGCTGTTTACCTTCTGAAGGCAGAATTTAGTGACTCCAGTTGGAAACTATTCCACAAAATGATCAGGGTTGAAATGTTTCTAACTACTAAGACTACACTACTTTCATAGTGTGAGCATTCTAGAAATGCATATATCTAATAATTACATTAAGCTTACCTACTCTATCAAATTTGGTACTTACAATTAGATTCATTTTTCAAATCTAATTTTCTTTTCCAGCTTGGCTGGTCCATTGGTCCTAAACATTTGATAAAACATTTACAGACAGTTCAACAAAATACCGTTTATACTTGTGCGACTCCTTTACAGGTAGGCCTTATAGTAATTTGGGGCTGATGCATGGTCTTTGGGTGGAGGTGTTAGTTTTATGTTGTGTACTTGAATTGGCTTCATTCCTCCCTTCATGTCCTTTTTGAGCAGGGCTTCTAGTATACTTTGGAAATTTAGGAGCAAACACAAACTCATTGCTATCAAGAATAGTTTTGTTTTTAATACATGATGTTTTAACTTTAAACACTCATACATTGCTGGTGGGATTACAAAGTACTGCAAACTCTCTGGAGGACAGTGACAGCCCCAAGCAAAATTAGAGATATATGTGCTCTGTGAAGGAGCAATGTATCCTCTGGGAATTTACCTTTTAGCTATTATCTGCACACTTAAGCTCTATGTATATGACCATTCATTGAGGAAGATAGGGGATAGTCCATCTATAGACAATTGGTTAAATAAACTATCGTCTGTCTAAACGTTTAAATGTTATATGACTGTTATTAGTTTCCTATTTCTTGGTGCCGAATTACCACAAACTTAGTGGCTTAAAACAACACAAATTTTTTATCTTACAGTTCTGGAGGTCAGAAGTCCAAAAGGGTCTTATGGGGCTAAAAGCAAGGTGTTGGCCTTGCTGCATTCCCTCTAGAGGCTTTAAGGGAGAATCTGCTCCTTGTCTTTTGCAGCTTCTTGGGGCTGCTCACATTCCTTGGCTTGTGGCTACATCACTGCAACCTCTGCCTCTGTCAATACAAGTCCCTCTGTGACACTAACTCTCTTGCCACCTTCTTTCCCTTATAAGGGTGCTTGTGATTACATTAGGCCCACAGATAATCCAAGATAACCTCTCCATCTCAAGATCTTAACTTAAATCACATTTGCAAAGTTAATTTTACCATGCAAGGTGACATATTTACAGATTCTGGATTTTAAGGCATGGACATCTTTGGGGACCATTACTGTATCACCATGGCTGTTTAAAAGTGAAAAGAAAAGAAAGGAAAGGGAAAGAAAGAAAGAAAAAAAAAACGAATGAGGAAGCTCTATAATTACTGACATGGAAAGATTTCCAGGATATATTATAAAGTAAAAAAAAGCAAGATACAGAGCAGTATATATTTATGCTATATTCTGTAATAAGAAAGGGGGGAAACGATTTGCTTCTATTTTCTTAAAGGATCTCTGGAAGAATCCGTAAGAAACTAGTAAACGTGGCTATTTGTAGGGGTAAGGGGGGAATAGATGAAATTAGTAGATAGGGTCAGGGGTGGGTTGCAAGACTTTTTATATTTTCTATTTTTTTAATATCTGTAAAACAGGGATCTGTGTACTATTACTTTGTGAATAATCAGAGCACTGAGAAAAAATTTATTTTTTTGGAAGGCAGTTAAAAGGTCAAAACAGTAAAATATCTTGGCTACAATAAACTTTTTTCCTCCCGTCAAAAATACCTACTAAAGGAGAAAAAAAATCCTAATTTAAAATTCTTTTTCCAGTGACTCTCTGAAGTGATATATGATGATAAAGCCTAGTCGGACATTGGTTTTATTATATTTTAAACATATTTCATCCTCTCAAAATAGATCCATTCACCTATTCAGTAAATATTTACTGAGCATTAGAGATACAGCAGTCAAAAATTCCTGCCCTTCTGGAGCTGACAGCCTTGTGGGGGAGTGCAGATCAAAAACAAGTAAATGTCCTAATAACATATATGTCAGATGTTGGTAGAAGAAATGGAGAAAAATAAAATACAGATGAAGAAGAATATAAAATGCTAATGGGGAAAATGCACAATGTTAAAAGGAGTAGTCTTTGAAAGCCTCACTGAGAAGGTGACATCTGAGCTGAGAACTGAAGGAGGTTAAGTAGTCACATGATTAACTAGAGAAGAGCCTTACAGACTGAGAAAACCAGTACAAGGCCCTAGGGCCGGCAGTTTCTACCAGTGAAAAGCACAAAGGCTGGGACGGGATGATCAAGGGAGAAGAATAGGAGGGAATAAATCAGAGAGGTAGCTGGGAGCCAGATAGAGTAGGGATATGTTTGTCACCGTAAATCCTGGGTGAGATAGGAAGCCACTGGAGAGTTTTGAGCACAGGAGTGACATGATCTAACTTGTGTTATCAAAGGGACTCTAGCCGCTTTGTTGAGTTAGCAGACTATTGAAATGATCCAGGAGAGAGACAGCAATGGACTGAACCCATATGGGGATGGTAGGAGTGGTAGGTAGTGGTTGGGTTCTGCATATACTTTGAAGGTAGAGCTGACAGTATTGGCCAGTGGATCACATGTGGGGTGTGAGACAAGAGGAGTCCAGTATAATTTTACGGTGAGGACAGATGTTTATGTCTCCTGGGCTTTGAATTTTCTAGGCAATATCTCTTACTATAGGGAATAATAAGTTACTGAGGAAAAGAAAGCCATCTAAGAACCTAGAACATGTTTTTCTGAACTATCTTATTCTCCATTTCAGCTAAGTGCTTGTTTTTTTCCCATGCCCTCAGACAACCATGTTTGGAAACTGGAAACATAGATTCCAATGGTGAACCACAGATTCTGAGGCTGAAGCAACTGATCCTTATTTATCCAAGATTTTTTTTTAGTTCTGGGGAGTTATTATTATTGCTCTTTTCCGGTTGAATGTTGTTGACATGCAGTCTTCTCTGTGATTTTGCCCTTCTCCATCTCAGTGTCTTCTCTTGCCATGCTATCTCTCTTGCTACCCTTCAACCACACCAGACTTCTCAGTTCTTCCAGCAGAACAAATAATATCCTGATCTTTTTATCTGTTTGTTTTCTTTCTCATTCCTCTCACATGTCCCTGCCAATACACACTAATTGGAATCTCCATAAAGGCAAGGACCATGTTTATCTTGTTTATCATTATATTCCCAGTATTTATCACAATGCCAAGTTTAACATAGATACTCAACATATATTGACTGAGTAAATGAATTTATCCTTTAGTTCTTGCTGTCTCTTGGTTCTGATCAATTTCCTTAAAATTTGGCAATTTTGTTCTGCCCCTCTGTCTCTTAACTGTCCCGGGTTCTTGATTATTTGTTTGGATCTCCTTGTTTGCTCTGAGAACCAGTATTTCTAAGTTCACCTACCAAATTTCTGCCCTCCTTCTTGTACACATCCTTGTTTTCTATGCATGCCCTGATTTGGCCTTCTTTATCTGTTCCTGACCTGTTGCCTTCTAAGACACCTGCCTGATCTAAACAACACAGGCTTTTTTGTTTGGCCCTTTCTCTTCTGACTTTCCTGAAGAATGGTAGAGAAGTAACTCCACATGCCCCAGAAACTCATTTCTAACCCCTGTGGGACTTAGACCTCCCTCTTGGGATGTGAATGATTAGAGCAGGGATGTGCACACTTACGAGGAATGACACAGTGGGTCAACTTTCATTTACGCTACCTCGTCCTGCAAGGTGATGGGGAAATGCTGGCTGGTTCATCATTTCTCTGGTCATCTTTCAGACTTAGATCTAGCAAGTAACTCTAAAGCTAACCTCAATAGAAAACAACGACGTCTTTTCATTGCCAAGTAAGCCATCTTTATACACTACAGTCAGCCCTCCCTATCCATGGGTTCTATATCCATGGATTCAGCCAAAGGCTGTGGATCCACAGTTGGTTGAAATTCACAGATGCAGAACCCAGGGATACAGAGAGCTGAGTGTATTATGGATACTTGAGCATCCATGGATTTTGGTATCTGCAGGAATCCTGGAACCAATCCCCCGTGAATACGAAGGGACAACTGTACCTCTGTTTCAGTTTGGATATTCATGGTTCATTCTCAGCTCTTCACATTAGATTTAATCATTTCCATGTAACTGATTCCTCCATTAATCTGTAGAAATTCACATAGGTTCACAGGAATTCAACTGTAATTCCCTGAATGACTTTTTGCCAACAATCTTTATTTATTATACCAATAAATTCTGCAGTAAATAACATTACCATATTTCCTTTCCACATTTTTCAATCTTAATATACAGGAAGCTTTGGCTCAAGCTCTTTGGATTGACATCAAGCGCATGGATGACCCAGAATGCTACTTTAATTCTTTGCCAAAAGAGTTAGAAGTGAAAAGAAATCGCATGGTACATTTACTTGAAAGTGTTGGCCTAAAACCCATAGTTCCTGATGGGGGATACTTCATCATTGCTGATGTGTCTTTGCTAGGTTTGTAAAGGTTTTTATTATTTCAAACATACAGAAACTTAAGAGTGAAATTATATCAGAATTATGAAGAAAAGATTGGTGTCAAAGCCATATCAGCATTTCATTTATGGAAAAATGGATTTCCACAGTGTCAGTCATCTACAGTCATCTTGATGATTAGGTTCTTAACCTTAAATATGACTGTTGTTACATGGTTTGGAGTCGTTTGTTCTAGATATTCTATTAAGCATAGAATTTGCTGTCATCTTGTTCTGGTATGTAATTTAAAACACAGGTACATGAAATAATATATGTTCCTTGTGTTCCTTTTAGTAAAATTTTAGTTTCCTTTTTACTTAAAAAAATATGATTTCTGGAATATTGATGCTATTGAGGAATACTTGTCATTTTAGAGTATACTGAAATGAAGTTAAGAAGGAACGTAACATTTATTGAAGGTCTACTACATGCCAAGCACTTTCAGACACTCTTTTGGAAAAAAGCATTGTTTGCTCCATTTTTAAGGTCATGAAGACTTAGAAAATATTAAATAACTTGCCTGAAGTCAGACAGCTAGATTCCAAATAGTTCTGTCTCCAAAAAGCAATGGCCTTTATATTACCTGAAGCTGTTATATGTAATTCTGACATGCCACACAAATCTAAAGTTAGAAGCATGATAATGTTTTATGTATAACATCTTTCTTCCCCCAAATTCTAGTGTTAGTCATAGTAAATTTAAGAGCATAATTTATTTTGACAGAAATTATATAAATTACAGCCATTCTTAACAGTTTTAAATATTTTAAGGTTTTATTATAATGAAGTGATATGCCACCAAACTTGAAAAGTCTTTTAAATATACCAAATTTTATAAAGCTAGAAACTTTCAATTTTATAACAAAACAGTGATTGTTATTTCCTCATTTGTTGTGAGAGAAGCAGAGGCCATGGTGACCAGAGGTTCTTGTTCTGCTGTTGCCGGAGAGCTATATTTGTCAGGCTCCCAAGCTCCATTCTTATATAAAACCCTTTATAATGTTCTATATTCTAAGATTTGGAAATCACCTTTCCTGTACTGGGCCTAAATGTGCAGCTCATTTCATGCAATGATAAAAAGAAATAGCAGTTTTCGTCTGTTTAGGAGAAAATTATTTTATCGGCTTCCAACAAGAATTTGAGTTAATTCATATTTAAAGTCTCCTATGCAATAATATGTAAGTAGAAATATTCATATATCAATGTAACATGGAGTGGGAGAAGCAAATAGTTTAGTCACCTAGGTTCATATGGTAGTTGACCCTAGAATAATGCAGGGTTAGTGGTGCCAACTCTCTGTACAGTTGAAAATCCGTGTATAACTTATAGTTGGTCTTCCGTATCTGAGGGCCCTCTGTACATGCAGTCCCTCCTTATCCAAGGTTCTACATAAGTGTAGAACCAACTCTGGATTGTATAGTACCATGATATTTACTATTGAAAAAAAAATCTGTGTATAAGTGGATTTATGCAGTTCAAACCTGTGTTGTTCAAGGGTCAGCTGTATTGTAATTAGCATTAACTTGAGTCCAAACTTCATGGCAGCAAAGGCAAATAGAAAAATGGAATTAGTAACATAATTCTTGGGTAAAAGTAAACTTAACAGCTTTTTAGATAAGAATAAGTCTTTTCTAGAACCAAACTAAAAGGCACTTAGCACATTTTGACGTTAAACATCAAAAGGACAGTAATGCAACCTTTGCTTGCATTAAGCTCTTAAACAGTTTCTCATTCTATCCTTAGTTGATCCAGCCTGCATGTAATACTGATTTAGGTCCTAGATCTTGAACTAGTGTGGTTGTAATAGGAGCAGAAAGGATTTGGGCTAGAAAACCTTTAATGATGATGGGGAAAAAAGATGTATGTTATTTATGGTCCTCCTTCACCTGTGTGAGAAAAATGTTAGTATCTATAGGACCCTGCTACATATGAAGATGAAGTTCATTTTATTTTACTCTTTCATCTTCTCAGATTGATTTGAGTGTAGAAATTCTTCCATATACTAGAGGTTGGTCCCACAATTTGCTAAAGACAGAAGCAAGAAACAACACTTTCACTTGATGGTAACTTAAAAATAAAAATGAGCCATAAAATTCATGGACATGGTAATTCTCTTTAAAACTATAGCAATGGCTAACTGATTAATATTTTTTGAGCATTTATGATCTAGTAGGTATTATGCTAAGAGCTTTACAAATATCACAATTCTCACAAAAGCCCTATGAGATTGGTGCTATTATATCCCCATTGATAGTTGAGAAAGATGAGATAGAAAATCAAGAAATTTACTGAAGTTAATCAACTAATAAGTAGCAGAGCTGGGCTCTGAATCCAGAGATGCATGTCCTAACCAGTGAACTTATCTTTTTTCTGCTATACTAGGCAACTTTCCTGACAGGTAAGCATCATCCTAGAACTAAAAAGGGAAACATTTGATTAGAAGACAAGATTACAAATAAGAAGATTATTACAGTAGTTCTAGTGAGATAAGGTCCAAAATTAGGGAGGAGATAGTGTGAATGCAACAACCTATTTTGATTCTCATAGGTTACTTAAATAAGCTAGTGCTATTATAATATGGTTCAAATTCCTACCTTCAATAAAGAAATATTTTGTTTAGTTTTTTTGAGAATCTCTGATTCAAGCATTCAAAAGAAGTAGATTCCAACTTTCTCCTAACTATAGTCTTTAGAATTGTATTTATTCCCTTATTTTTCTTTGAGCACCATGGCAATAAATTTCTCTTTTCTAAGCATTACAAGAATGAGTAGTTGTCATACTGAGTGAAGTAAGTCAGACAGAGAAAGACAAATATATGATATCGCTCATATGTGGATTCTAAAGAATGGTACAAATGAACTTATTTACAAAGAGAAATAGAGTCACAGATGTAGAAAACAAAAGTACGGTTACCAAGGGGGAAAGCAGACGTGGAGGTGGGGGGGGGGGATAAGTTGGAAGAATTGGGATTGACATATACACACTACTATATATAAAATAGATAACTAATAAGGACCTGTTGTATAGCACAGGGAACTCTTCTCAATATTCCATAATGACCTATATGGGAAAAGAACCTAAAAAAGAGTGGATATATGTATACATATAACTGATTCACTTTGCTATACAGCAGAAAGTAATACAACATTGTAAATCAACTATACCCCAATAAAAATTTTTTTAAAAAAAGAATAAATGAGTAGTACAGCCTGTGTCAATTACAGTTAGTAAGTACCCTCCTGTTCTTTCTTCTACTGCTGTAATCACTCCTTTCTCCAGGTTACCTTTGAGTATGCTACTATTGTGTACTTGTCACTTGGAGTTTTCACGTAATTTACAGTTAGACTCTATTTTAAGTTGTCATTTTGTTAGAGCCAAATCTGAATTAGACACACATACATACTTATGACTTGAAATAGTAATTTAACTTCTTCATTTGTAAAATGAGGATTGCTGCTTCTATCAGAATTGTAGGACAAATAAATGAGAGAATCATGTAACATGCTTAACAAATAGTAATAAATGGTAGAGTATTATTAGCATTATTATATGGAAATTTTACATTCTTAAAGCACAGGAGAAAACTGAAATACAATCATTAAGGAAAACCATATTAAGTCATTTAAAAAAAATACAGGTGAAACTTTCTTCAATGTCAAGGTTTTTACACTGTTAATTTGAAGGGACCCAGGAGTATTTAGTGAATAAAAGAAAAAAGGTAAAGGTAACTGCCTCAATTTATTTTGAGTAATAAATTGTAAAATTTCATTGATTACAGTAGCCATCAACGTTTGTTGCTTTGGGGCATTCAAAAAGATCTTGAGTACAAGTCAATAAAATCGAAACAATATGAAATATAGATTGCTGAATCTGAATGCCAGAGAAATATCTTGCCCAGACCTTAAAGCAAGATTGGAACAAGAGATAAGTATAAGAATACATATTTGAAGTTTTTCATCAAATTTAAAAGAAAATTTTTTTAAGCATAATGTTTGGAAGAGGAAACAATAAAGATATCACTTGGGAGAACTACATAGGCATTTTCCCTTCATAAATAATGAATAATATTAACTTATTCATTCTACAAATATGCTTTTCATTACTTATATGCTAGACTCTGACCTAGGAGATGGGGATAGTGATAGATTGCAATACCCCCGTGGAGCTTACAATTTAATAATGAATTACCATTTGGAGACATAATTATTACAGATGAGTACTCTAAATTTAGGTGTTATTTCCTTAATAATGATCATAGAGGCTTATATTATTTTTAAACGGAAAGGCAACACTCTTCTTTGTCCTTCCCTTTTCCTACTCTCTTCCAATGCTAAAAGCTATATACACAAGTATGATCAATCAGATGTATATGTGAGTACTGCCTTAGAGTATCAGTAAAGCTTCTCTGTGAATTCCTTACTTCCCACCACACCATGCAGTATGAATCCAGCATGAGAACATTTTGAGAGAAAATTTTGAATCTTGATAGACAGATGAAATACACATTGCCTCAGATGTAATACATAGGCCATCCAATTTTTATTGTTGTTTTAGATACAGACCTTTCTGATATGAAGAACAGCAATGAACCTTATGACTATAAATTTGTAAAATGGATGACTAAAAATAAGGTAATGTTTATTGGCCTTTGCAATATTGTGCTAAATGTTATAATTTATGAAGGAAACCTGCTGACATGCTTTGAAAACTGTTAACTGTAGTTTTGTTACATGATATTCTACTCATAGCTATTTGGAAGATTTTATTTTATTTTATTTTATTTTTGGCTGCGCTGCATGGCTTATGGGATCTTAGTTCCCTAACTAGGGATTGAACCTGGGCGCTTGGCAGTGAAAGTGTGGAGTCCTAACCACTGGACCACTAGGGAATTCCCTGGAGGATTTTTAAAACATTTTTCTTTTGGAAATTATTGTGAATATTTAGAAATATCTATTTGTTTTTAATGTTTATGCTCCAAAAATTAATATTTAAAGTGTAAGTAGTTTTCCTGTTTTTCCTATTTTATATTCCTATTTGTTTTTCAGAAATTGTCAGCCATCCCAGTTTCAGCATTCTGTAATGCAGAGACCAAATTACAGTTTGAGAAATTTGTGCGATTTTGCTTCATTAAAGTAAGTTCCCTATTCTACTCAAAAACACATTTATAATGTCCTTCCTTCTGATTTATAAATCACCATTTTTTTTCTGTTGCTAGACATGATGTACTCATATGCAGTTTTTAATTTGTGGCTTGCTGCCATAAAATTAATCTACCAGAACAAAACTCAGCACTTTTTGAAGTTGAACTTACTGGATTACAATGTAATCAGACTCCTTACCTGTAACATTACAATGTCCAGCATGCAACCAAACATCAATACACATGTGAAGACACAAGAAAATGTGACCCTTAATGAAAAGAAATGTGACTTCTATGCAGTCAATAGAAATAGATCTTAAGGTGACCCAGATGTAGGAATTATCAGACAAGGACTTTAAAGCAGATATTATAAATGTGTTCAAGAAATTAAAGGAAAATATGGTCATAATGAGTGGCTAGATTAATTAATTTTAAATTCTTAAAAAAGAACCAAATGGAACTTTAAGAATTTTAAAAAGTAACATCTGGGGCTTCCCTGGTGGCGCAGCGGTTGAGAGTCTGCCTGCTAGTGCAGGGGACACGGGTTCGAGCCCTGGTCTGGGAGGATCCCACGTGCCGCGGAGCAGCTGGGCCCGTGAGCCACAACTACTGAGTGTCTGGAGCCTGTGCTCCACAGCGGGAGAGGCCGCGATAGTGGGAGGCCTGCACACCGCGATGAAGAGCGGCCCCCGCTTGCCGCAACTGGGGAAAGCCCTCGCACAGAAACGAAGACCCAACACAACAAAAATAAATAAATTAATTAATAAACTCCTACCCCCAACATCTTAAAAAAAAAGTAATATCTGATATGAAAAATATATGGGGCTAAACACAGAGGATCGAGGTTGTGAAAAAAAAAATGGGTCCACCTGAATACAGATCCACAGAAATCATCCAATCAGAAAAAAGAGGGAAAAATTATTTTTGAAAAATAAGGAGAGTCTCAGATCTATGAGTCAGTGTCAAGTAATAATATATATGTAACTGGAGTATCAAAAAAAGAGAGAGAGAATGTGGCAGAAAAAATATTTTAAGAAATGATGGCCAAAATTTCCCCATATTTGGTGAAAAGCCACTTAGAGATCTAAAAATTCAGTGAGCCACACAGGATACAAATAAAAATTACATCTTGACACATCATAATCAAACTGCTGAAAACCAAAGATAATGATAAGATCTTGAAAGCAGCTGGAGAAAAACTATACCTCACATGCATGGGAGCAAAGGTACAAATGTTAACTAACTTCTTATCAGAAACAGCGGAGACGAGATTACAATGAAATGACACCTTTAAAGTGCTGAAATAAAAAATATGTCAGCCTAGAATTCTGTATCCAGGAAAATATCCTTTAAAACTGAAAACAGTATACTTCCCTAGTAAATGAAAGCTAAGAGAATTCAGTACCATCAGATCTGTGCTAAAAATAATCTGAATGTATTATTGCTATTTTTAACAATTTAGTGATAAGATGTTATCACTACTGAAAACAATCTTATGAAGATTAAGGCACTCTCTATACCTGCACACTCATGTATAAGTCTAGACAGAATGATGTAAACACTGTTTTCAACTTTTAGACCCCTCCTATAGACAAACTATGGGAGACTTATCCAGAATAGAATATAAATCTTACCAGCATAACAATGTCAACATTTAATTGTCTGAAATGTAGAAGAAAGGGTAAGGCCATTAACACTCTCATCTTATAGTGGATCTAGAAACAGAGGTATATTATTTGAAGTTATAAACAGAACTAACAGAAGAAAAAAGTAGCATAAGACTTCCAGTTTTAGAATGGTAAACACGGCCCTTCCCCATTCTCTTCTTGGAAATTATTAAGGAAACAACTAGGAGAGTGGAAAACAAATTCACAAATCCCCCAGGAAGTGAGAAAGAGTTGCCAAATCAGTGAAGGTAATGGTAGAGGGAAGACACGAAGAAAGCCTTCTGCTTCTACATCTTCAGATTATAGACAGAGCCAACAGGTAGCCTACTCAATATCCAGAACAGCAGGAACAGTAAATGCACTGGTAGTGGGAACTTCTCCAGACCCATTTGGCCCCATGGAAGAGGCAGAGTAGAAACATACAGTCATGTCATCTAGCACCTGTGCAAACCAGGTGGAAAGAAAGGGCTGTATAGATTTGCTCTTCACCTCTGTCAGTTTTGCTAAAGCTGTGTTGAGGCAGTGTGGATACGTTAAATTGGAGGGAGCCAATTAAATTAGTTGGAAAGAAATAAAGTCTAAAAGAACTCCCTCTCTCTGAACTCTGTATTAATCATATTTAACCTTGTGAGCCAGAGATAATTTCTACTCCCTTCTAGTGGTTCCCTGGATCTTCCTTTATACAAACCTGCAAATACGTCTTCAGATCATAGACAGAGCCAGCAGGTAGCTTACTCATTACCCAGAACAATAGGAGCCGTACGTAGGTGTGCTGGCAGTGGGAGCTTACAAAGAGAATTCAATCAAAGATGAGTAATTAAAAGGAACCAGCTATGAATCTAAAAAGATACTATAAGGGGAAAAGGAGAAAGGTACAGTGAAAAACAATATCAGGCAGAGAATATTCAACCAAAAAAAGAAAAAAATGTTTCCATAGAACAAACCAAAAGTGTGATATTTCAAATTCAAAACATGTAAAACGAATTACAGCAGAGATTTTTAAAAGTTCAGGGAAGATAGAGTAAGATAATGTAAGAAGATGAAATGGCAGCTGTCAGAGCTCAGGTAAGAAATTGAAGGAAAAAAATAAGCTATTGGTAATTGTAGTGACATTGGAAACAGCACAGAGAACACTAAATACTTCTGTAAGCACACTGAGGATTGAGAAGAGTGAGCAAAAAGAAGTAGAAAGGAACAAAGAATTTTTTTTTTGGCCGCACCATGTGGCTTGTGGGATCTTAATTCCCCAACCAGGGATTGAATCCGGGCCATGGCAGTGAAAGCGCAGTCTTAACCACTGGACCACCAGGGAACTCCCAGGAACAAAGAATTTTAAAATGTTAGAAAAATTACAGACGTGGAAGACAAATGAAATACCTAGAGTTCCTGGAGGGGGTGGTGAGGGGAGCCAGACCAATGGAACTGGGAAAGAATTGTATAGCTTTAGTTTGAGAATGCTTTCCATTGAAAACAAACAAATAAATCTAAAAATGGGAAGGGAATGGCTTGTCTCAGGAAACATTGTCACAGAATAACACTGAGGTATGCCTTGTTTTAATCTATTGGACTTTATAAATGATCCGTTGGCATCTAGACAAGATGATCAAGACCTCCATGGAGACAGGAGAGGAGGATCAGTGTGGACTCACTTCCTTTGCATCAGCATTCAATATTGGAAGATAGTGGGGCAACATCAAGAAGTCCCTATAGGGAAAGCTGACACACCTCATCCAACCTCTTGGAAAAGCAAAGAATAAAAGGGTGGCAAAACGTGCCAAGAAAGTGGAAATTGAAAGAAAGCAGGTTGAATTTAGGGCAAAACAAACCAAAAGCAGCAGCACTTTACAATGATTATGGGTAAAGTCCTCAGTAGTTGTCAAATATATGAAAGGATGCTATACCTCACTCATAATAAGAGAAAAGAAAAATAAAACTGCAGTGAAATTTTATTTTTTCTGATAATTTGGAAACAACCAAAACAACTGAAAAGTTTCATAAGATACTCTCATGCATTGATTGAGAGTACGAGTATAATGTGTAAAATCTCTGCAGTGGTTAGTATGAAAATGTATCATCCGAATATAAATGCACATATCTTCTGACCCAGCAGTTCTGCTTATAGGATTTTTTCCTGTGGATTTACTTGTACTTTGAATGTCTTGTGTTCGAGGATTTTCAGTGAAACACTGTTTATAATATCAAAGGATTATAAACAAAATATTCACCAATGAAGGCTGTTTGAATAAATTATGTTACATTCACATCCATAAAAGTGTGAAGCAGCTCCATGGAGTGATAGAGCATAAGCTAAAAGCAAGGAGCAGACCAGTTTGTGAGGAATACTATCATCTATATAAAAAGAAAAAGGGAGGGAGGGAGATAGAAGCTTTTAAGTGCCTAGACTGTCCCTGGGAGGAGACGTAATAAAATCCCAGCGTTGCCTCTGGGGAGAACTGAGTGGTTGAGGGAGATGGGTGGGAGGCTGGGTTACTTTAAAAATATATTTTGAAATATTCTTAGTAAATAAGTTTGAAGAACTGTTTTTCCAAAGAATTTTATGTAAGTTCCTAACTTAATTATTGATGCCTCTATCACTCCCAAATACCTTATTATGTATTCCCCATTATACAACATTCTTCTACAGTATAACCATCAAAATTATGAACTTAACATTGCTATATCATTCTATCTAATCTCAGATCCAGTTCAAGTTTCACTAATTGCCCCAATAATGTCCTTTTTATAACAACCAACCAAGTAAATAAATCCAGGCCATAATCATGTCAGTCAGACAGACATCAGTCCGTCAGTCCAGGCCAGAATTGTGCATTGTGTTTAGCTGTCATGTCTCCTTCAAGCTAGAATGTTCCTCAGTTTTCCTTGACTTTCATGACCTTGATACTTCTGAAAACTGTTGACCAATTATTTTGAAGAAGGTCCCTCAACATTTGTTTGACATTTACTCGTGAATAGACTCAGATTATGCACCTTTGGCGGGAAACCGTGGAAGTGATGCTTTATTCACTGTCTTGCATCCTATCAGCACATGATTTTAGTTTTTCCTACTGCTTGTAATGTTAAATTTAATTACTTTATGGAGGTGGTGTCTGCCAGCCTTCTCTACTGTAAAGTTTCACTTTTTCCCTTGATAAATAATGAATGTTTTGTGGTGAGGTACTTTGAAACTATGAAAATATTCCATCTCTCATCAAGCAATTTATTTATTCATTCATATATGTAAGGACTCATGGATTCCTGTTTCATTCAGTGGGTTATAATTTATCATTATTATTCCTTATTTTGATGCTCAAATTTCCCCAGATTTGGCCATTAGCAGCCCCTTTAAGCTGGCCTCTGTTTCCTTTGACATGTCCCCATCATTTTTTGAGCATTTCCTTACTTTCTGGCATAGCAGGATGCACCAGGTTCATTTTGTCATTATCTAGCCCAACTTGGAATCACCTTTTAGTGGAGAATGGTATTAAGAAACCAAGATCTGGGCATTAGGAGTGCTCATTGCTGTTGGGGTATTAGTATTCCCAGGCCCTCCCAGGGGACAGACGTAGGGAATATGTAAATGTATATACATACATTCTATGTCTGTGTCTATTCTACTTATTTCTATGTCTATCTAAATATCTTGAAGCCACCACAGAGTTTATTCTAGCTTTCTCCCTATCCATATTTGTCCCTCCCTTCTTTGATAGTAAAACACCTGGCTCATCATGTAACCACTTCTTTAATCAGTACTTCTGTATGTGACCAGTCTCCTGTCAGTGCCACTGCCCCTCCACCCAGCACCCCTGACAGGCAGCTTTTACCCTACTCAGGCTTTGACACCTCTACCAGGCTGCTGCCCCTGTCCCCTGTATGGCCACCATCCTCACCTCACCTGAGCTTCAGCACCCTGTGCTGACCTGCTGCTGTCACTCTCCTGTAGAGATACCCTCCTCTAAGTCTCCAAGGCCACCACTGTCACCCACTGCATAGAAGCCCTCCTCTTCCCTTACGGGCTGTGACACTCCATGCCTCTCTGCGTTGGCAGTTACTTGCCTCATCCCCTCCAGGCTCCAAGCTGCTTGGAACCTCCCTGCCATACAGAGGCCTTGCTTACTTACCCCCCTCGACTCTGACACCCTGTTCCTGGTCAGTGCCACCACTGCCATCACCACCACATCATGCCACCAACATTGGAAAGTCTACTCACTCCACTCTGGCTGCAGCACCCTGCACCAGGCTGCCAAGGCTCCCCCTGCCCCCATACATGATCTCCTATTTCACTCAGCCCCACGTAATGGCTTTTGGACTAAATCACTCTGCAGAGATGGAACAGAAAGGAAAAGGGGAAGTAGAGAAAGCAGAAGAGGAAGTTTATCCATCAATTTAATGTTTTACCATGTGTAGATATTACCTATTCAAAAAACAAATGCATTTTATCAATACAGTTGACCCTCAAACAGTGTGGGAGTTAGGGGCTTATAACTGTGAGACTTAGATGGGAGGGGGCAGAATAGTGTGAATGAACCAGTTTTTCCTCATTCAGAGCAGAGAATGGTGAACATTGTCTGAAGTTGATAAATAAAAAATTAGAAACACACATTATTTAGATTTTAGTGACAACCACTAGAACTAAAACCAGAAATTGCCATAAATTGTTGTGTTGGGGGATGGTGGGAGTAGTAGGAAGGGGTGGGGAGGGAAGAAGCAGATGATTATTTTTCAATGTAAACTCTTCTGTACTCTCTGACTTTTTTCTGTAATTGTGTATTAATTTATTCCTCCATTCTTGCTCCGCCTGGCAGCCTCTGTGTGTTGGGAGCTAAGGGAGGGATTTTCTTCTGTTGTCTAGAAGCCTCTTTGAAAGAGGTCTGTGATTTTGTATACTTCCTACCCAAATGGACGAAACAGTGAATATGGATCCCATCAGCACATCCTTCAGACTCTCCTCCTGCATCAGTGTTACTTAGGAGTCTGGGTCTTTGGTGCTGCAGGCCACTTGGGCTGCCACAAGTGGTTATGAGTGAGGGTGTTCACACTGACGGACATGGTTTTGGCTGGGATCAGGTTAAACTGTTTTCAGTCTGAGCTGTATATACAGTTTGTCAATCTTTTTTTTTTTTTTTGGTGATGCTCTTTGGCCCTGTACTGGTTAATTTGTAGATTTCTTTGGTGTCAGGAAAGTAGTAATAAAGTGCCCTGAATTGGCAGCCAGCATCACAAAACAGCATGATGTAGTGATTGCTGGGATGCTTCTCTAGCTCCCCTAACATTGAATTCTTGTGAGGTTCATTCACTTTTCTAGCCTGACAGCAATGGGATATAGAATTATAAATAATTGGTTTGTTTGATTTGCTACTGGGCCCCTTAAAGAGCTCGGGACTTGTGTATTTGGCCACCAAGGCAAGGGATGTTGCTGTGTGTTCCTGCTCTGTGTTCCTGCTGAGATTAAGTGGCTTAATATGGGGCAGAGCTTCCAGTGACACAACCCAAGGTGTCCCCCGCCCCTACCCCCACCCCATGAATGCTCTTGGGCTCTGTCTTAGCTGCAGAGGCCAAGGACTGGCTGGAGCCCATCTGGGCCCAGCTCAAGTTATCAGGAGTTGAGAAGCACTAGGTTCCCAAATCACTACATGACTGTTACGGATGGACTGATTTTGGTATATTTTTTACACTTAAATCTTTATTTCATCTTGAATTTATTTTGATATGTAATGATGATTATTTCATTAATTTACAGAAAGACAGTACGCTGGATGCTGCTGAAGAGATCATCAAGGCATGGAGTAGACAGAAGTTTTGATACATGCAAACTGCATTGTTTCTATTAAATGACCTAGTATGGAATTATTTAGTACTGCTACTTGCTGGGTGTTGGAAAAAAAATTTCAGTACAAATGAAATTTAAAGGACTATTTCCATTGTTAATCCCACTCCTGACAATATTCAGGAGATCTGATTTTTTTTTCAGCTGAAATGTATTAAAACACCTTTTAGACCATTTTATGAGTCAGTATAGTGCAGTGGTAAGAACTGTGAGATGCTGGTTGATGCTTAACCTCTCTGCGCTTCAGTTTCCTCATAAAAGGGGAATAAAAATAGCACCTACTTTATATGAAGTTTGTGAGTTGTTGTTCGTGAGGATGAAATGGTCTGATGTATGTAAAGCCTGGCAAACAATAAGCACTCAGCTACTCTTGGCCAGTTTCACTTCTCTGCCGTTGCGTGAAAACCCTTAACCAGTTACATCCCCCTCAACTCTGTATCTTTGCTTTGTCTCTACCCACCTGTAGTTCTCTCCCCTTCACTTACTAATGGCTTTGAACTTTGCTCATAGTTTTGCCTCTCTGTTGCAAGTACTGCCATCATCTGGGGTGGCTTCAAGGTCCCCATGGATTACCTAGGCTTTTGGTACTTTGACCTCCTCACCTCTGGTGATACTCACCTCCACTCCACTCTCCACTTCAGCCACCCACTCCCTTGGGCATACCCTAAACCTTTCATCATTTCAGCCTGTTCCATCTTTGAGATAATAAGTTAGTCATTTCACACTGTAACCACCTATTCTTACACTAAGTTTCCCCTTGGCCAATATTTCCCTCTCTCTCCATCTCTCTCTCTCTCTGTCTCTCTCTCTCTCTCTCTCTCTCACTCAGCTCCTCTCAAAATATTACTTTAAACTATCATTTCAAATCTATTCTCTATCCACTATTTCTCAAAAATTGGTCCGTGGCCCTCTTACATCAGAATCAACTAGGATCTTTGTTGCAAATAGATTTTGGTCTTCACCCCAGACTTACTGAATAATAATTTCAGAATCTGGCCCTTTCCAGGTGATTCTTATTCCCACTAGAGTTTGAAAATCATTGGTGTAGTCTGTAGAACCTTCTATCAGTCTCTTTGTATCTTCACTCCCTTCCATATCCAGGTTAGATTTCATCATCCATAACTTCAGCCAAGATACTTCGGCTGCCTTGAATAATGTACTCATTGTTCTAGCTCACCTACCTGGTCAAAATAAATAAATAAACAAACAACAACTCATCCCTGGGGTTGAAGCTCCATGCTTGCAGCTGGGCTGCTGAGCGCTGCCGTAGCAAAATGCATAATTGGGCAGGTTCTAACACCCATGAATGCACGTCACTGACTTAACTTGACTTAATTCTTCTGTGTTCCCCTAGTGAGCTTTCTCTACATTTTACCACGACAGCAATTCCTAATATTCTTCCATTCTCCATAGTAAAAATACCCAGCCTTCTCCATTCTCTTAACACCTCAAAGCCCACCACTGCCAGTACTATTAAATGACCTAATCTCCTGCTTTTGTGAAAAGCAAAATTTTAAAAAATGAAAAAGTAGGAACCACCAGACCAGCACTCCCAGCTGGGATTCTACCAATAAGTGAGTCTATGACATCTACATCAGCATCCATCCTTTCTTTATTGCCCCCAGGGCCTGGGGACAGTGGGGAGGATTGGTGGTTAAGCAGATCCAGAAGGAGGCCAGGACCTCAAGAGCCAACTATTGCATAGCAAAACAAATTCCATGTGAAAATTGTGCCTGTCCACTCGTGTGGGGACTTGATAAAATTTTCACCAGGGTTTAAATCCACTCTTTGCAGCCTTGGACTTGGCCAGTGCTAATCCCACCACCTGTACTCTGGATCCCATGTCTTCTCACATTCTCAGGGACTTGGTTTAGCCTATTCTCTTATATCTTCAGCCTCTACTGGATCCCTTTCTCAACAGTAAGATACTTTCAAATCTCTCCCATCTTAGAAAATCCTTTCCCTGATTCTATCTACAACCCTATTATCTCTTCCTCTTCAGGGCAAAATTCCTTCCTTCCATTTTTTTCTCTCTCCCTCCTGGCCTCCCTCCATGCTTCATTTTTTCCTTTAACAAATATTCATTGAACTCCTAATATGTGCCAGGCACTGTCCTAAGATATTCAGGCACTTAGGATATATCAGTGAACAAATGAACCAAAGATCCCTGCCTTCTAGAGCTCCCCTAGATAGGGGAGAGACAATAACTAAATCATAAACATAATGAAATATATTGTAAAACTTATACATGGCAATTGTATGAAGAAAAGAAGTAAGGCAGGGTAGAGGTTGGAATGAGAGTTTTAGGGAAGCAAATTGGAATTTTAAACAGTGTGGTCAGGTGGGTCTCATGGAGGGGACATAGAAGCAGACTTAGAAGAAGAGAGGGAGAGAGCCTTGTGACGATCTTAGGGAGGAACATCCCAGGCACAAGGAATAGCCAGTGCAAAGGCTCTATAACTGGAGGGTGTCTTATATTTGATGAATACCAAAGGTCTGCTGTGGCTGGATGGAATAACCAAGGGATGGAGTAGCAGGTATTAGGCCAGAGAAGTAACATAGGACCTCAAGGACTGGAGTAAGGATAATGGTTTCGTGCTAACCTATCTGTACCTTTTTTTTTTTTGTTGTTATGTAAAATAATGTTTATTGCAGCATGGTTTATAATTCCTCCAAACTAGGAACAACCAAAAAGACATGAGACTGGGTACGAGCGCCAAATATGTCAGTATTAGCAACGAAAGGGGACTGATGACCTCGCTCTAGATTTTTGAGAAATTTTACTGCGAAATGGAATAACTTGAAAACGTTTTCCTCATTTGATGATTTCACTTACTCGCACACAAACACACACTCCTCACTTACCCTCAACCCGCTATAGTCTGGATTCCATACCCATTATTGTTCTAAGTTCTCTAATGACCTCCATGTTCTTAGGTTTAAAGGAAACGTCTCAGTTCCATCTGGCTTTACCTCTAGTAAAATACCTGCAGTATTTACCACTGCAGGCCGCTTGGGCCTTCCTAAACCCTAATTTTTTTTTTTTTTTAGATCCTGTGGTGCTGCATGTTCATCAGTTGCCTTTTGTACTCTGCCCTTCTTCCTTCATCTCCTTTGCCTGTTTCTTAGATATTGGTATTTTGTCTTTCTCACTAAATAACTTCATTTACTCGGTATATGCTAGTGACTCCTAAATCTGTAACAGCCTAGTTCTATCTGTTGAATTTCACATCCAGTATCCCATTCGTCATCTCACATAGACATTTTATAGGCAAACCCTATTCAATCTGGGTTCCTTATCTCAGTGAATGGTGCCACCAATCCAGTTGCTCAAGTCAGAAAACCTACAAGTCATTTTTAACTTTTCTCCCCACATCCAAATCCTCTATATAGTACCCTGCCTCTCTTCAATCCATCACTTCTCTCTGCTCCAATTGCCCCCACTCTGGCACCAACCAATGTCATTTCTCAACTAAATTACTAGTCAACTCTTAACAGTTCTCCCTGTCTTGCTCCTTGTAACTTATCCCTGTGGCCCAAACAAGCTTTATAAAATGCAAATGTGATCATGTTACATAGATTAGTTAAGATTATTCCTGTTGCAAGTGACAGAAAGCCTAACCTGTATGGGTTTAAATCAAATAAAAAGGAATTGTCTGCCTCAACATTTTAGGAGTAGTCTAGTTTCAGTTACAGCTTGATCCAAGACTCATATTGTAATATATCACCAAGCTCCATTTCGTAGTTCTGTCTTCTCTGTGTCAGCTTTATCTCCACGTTGTACCTCCTGGATAGAAACACGGCTACAGCAGTTTCTGAGCATCATATGGTGACAAATCCAGCAAATCCAGCAAAAGAGGACACTTTCTCCGAAGCTCCAGCAAATGATATATTGTGTCATATTGGCTCATTCCTGAGCTAACCGCTGAGGCCAAGGGGATTGGACATGCTAACTAACTTAGGCCAATCCAAGGTCAACTTCACATGGACTACATTGGTTGAAAGAAGGGACAGAATGACGAAGGGAGGAAATGGATGAGAAAATGTCTTAAGTGACTTAAAATCTTTTACTCTCCATTGCTCTTAACATAAATGAGTTTTGTTGCTGTTGTTTTGGGTTATTTTGGTGTTGGGGTTTTTAGACGATCATTCTCTGATGCAAACCATTTATTTATTTATTTGTTTGTTTATTTATTTATGGATGGCTGCGTTGGGTCTTTGTTGCTGCGCGCAGGCTTTCTCTAGTTGTGTCGAGCGGGGTCTACTCTTTGTTGTAGTGCGAGGGCTTCTCATTGTGGTGGTTTCTCTTGTTGTGGAGCACGGGCTCTAGGCACGTGGGCTTCAGAAGTTGTGGAGCACGGGCTTAGTTGCTCTGCGTCATGTGGGATCTTCCCAGACCAGGGCTTGAACCCGTGTCCCCTGCATTGGCAGGCAGATTCTTAACCACTGCGCCACCAGGGAAGTCCCGCAAACCTTTTTTTTTTAACATCATTATTGGAGTATAATTGCTTTACAATGGTGTGTTAGTTTCTGCTTTATAACAAAGTGAATCAGTTATATATATATCCCCATATCTCTTCCCTCTTGCGTCTCCCTCCCTCCCAACCTCCCTATCCCACCCCTCTAGGTGGTCACAAAGCACCAAGCTGATCTCCCTGCCACAAACCCTTCTTGATTGAGGAAAGAATGAGTTCATTACTTAGTCAGGTAAGGGAATCACCCCTGAAGGTCATTTCTCCTCAGTCACTTAGACTCTCCTCATCAGGGCTTACAGTGCCCCGTATGATATGGTCTCCCTCTTAATCCTCCAGTCCATCTTTCCCATCTTTTCCTACTCAAATGTCTAGTCTTACTGAACTCATTTCAATTTCTAAATGAGCCCTATGCTCTCTACCTTTTAGCAGATGTTATTTCCTGACATTCAGGCATGGTTAATGTAGGTGATATATTGGTGATGCTTAATTTTATGTGTCAACTTAGCTGCACCATGGTGCCCAGATATGTGGTCAAACATTATTCTGGATGTTTCTGTAAGGGTGTTTTTGGAAGAGATTAACATTTAAATCAGTAGACTTTGAGTAAAGCAAATTGCTCTCCATAATGTGGGTGGGCCTCATCCAATCAGTTGAAGGCCTTAACAGAACAAAAGACTGACACACCTCCCCCACCTCCCCTCCCCAACCTTACCACCCCCCGCCCCTGGGGTAAGAGGAAATCCTTCTAGCAGAGGGCCTTCAGACTTGAACTGCAGTATGGTCTCTTCCTGGGTCTACAGCCTGCAGGCCC